GGGTGCCACAGAGTGCCCCGTCTCTGAGAGAGTACGGTCTCAGAGGAATAGGCCAAGGAGGTGCTGTCGCGAGGAGCATGAGTTCGGAGAACCACGTCTTGGTGGGCCAGTAGGGGCTACCAGCAAGACCTGCTCCTCGTCCTCCTTGATCTTGCACAACACCCGTGCAAGGAGGCTCACTGGGGGGAACGCACACTTGCGTGGGCCCCGTGGCCAGCTGTGCGCCAGCGTATCCGAGCCGAGAGAGCCGCGGGTCAGAGAACAAACTGGGCGCAGTGGGACGAGTCCCGAGAGGCGAACAGGTCTATCTGTGCCTCCCCGAACTGGTCCCAAATCAGCTGGACCGACTGGGGATGGAGTCGCCATTCGCCGGAGATGGAACGGGCCCGGGACAGCTCGACGGCTGCCCGGTTCCGGTCTCCAGGAATGTAGCTGCACGAAGGGACCTCAGGTGCTTCTGACTCCATATCAAGAGGTGGCGGGCGAGCTGCGACAACCGGCGCGAGCGTAGACCCCCCCTGGTGGTAGATGTACGCTACTGCCGTAGTGTTGTCTGAGCGGACAAGCACATGCTGGCCCTAGAGCACGCTCGGAAGCGGTGCCGGGCGAGCCGTGCTGCCAACAGCTCGAGGCAATTGATGTGCATGAGGCGCTGGGCTCCTGTCCAGGAACCGGCGGCTGCATGCCCATTGCACATGGCACCCCAACCCGTGGTAGACGCATCCGTGGAGACAACGAGATGCCTGGAAACTCGCTGAATAGGGACCCTGTCCGTAAAAAGCTGAGGTTCGACCACGGGAAGAAGGTTCGGCGGCACGTCGGAGTCACTGGAACTCGGAGCGAGCCGCGATGCCATGCCCACCTCGGGACTCGATCGCGAAGCCACAGCTGAAGCGGTCTCATATGAAGCAAACCGAGCGGCGTACCGCGGATGCCATATGCCCCAGGAGCCTCTGAAATAGTTTCAGTGGAACCGCACTCTTGCCCTCGAACTGTCGAAGACAAGCCAGCAGTGAGTGCGCGCGCTCGTCGTGAGCTGCGCGGACATGGCGACCGAGTCTATCTCCATGCCGAGAAAAGAGATCCTCTGCACGGGGCAAAGTTTGCTCTTTTCCCGGTTGACCCGAAGGCCCAGACGGGCTTGGTGCCGTAGCACCAGGTCTCTGTGTTCGCAAACCCGAGCTCGAGAGTGTGCTAGTATCAGCCAGTCGTCGAGATAGTTCAGGGTGCGAACCCCGTGTTCGCGAAGGGGAACAAGGGCTGCCTCGACGATCTTCGTGAAGACGCGAGGGGACAGAGCTAACCCGACTGGGAGAACGGCGTACTGGTATGCCTGGCCCTCGAAGGCAAACCGAAGAAACGGTCTGTGTCGAGGGAGAATGGAGACATGGAAGTACGCGTCCTTCAGGTCGATCGCTGCAAACCAATCCTGATACCGAACACATTCGAAAATGCGTTTGGCCGTGAGCATTTTGAACGGTAGTCGATGGAGAGAACGGTTCAAAATGCGCAGGTCCAGGATCGGTCGTAACCCACCGGTCTTTTTTGGGGACAATGAAGTAGGGGCTGTAAGCCCGGACCTCACCTCGGCTGGAGGGACCGTCTCGATTGCACCCTTCGCCAGCAGGGTCGCAATCTCCGCTCTCAAGACTGGGGCATTGCCACCAAACATCGCGGAGCGAACTCCCCTGAAGCGGGGAAGAGACCGTGCGAACTGAATCGCGTAGCCGAATCTGATCGTTCTGATGACCCAGTGGGATACCCGGGAAGCGCTAGCTAGGCTTCCAGGAAGTGAGCCAACGGGGTCATGCGAACCACAGACGTCCCCCCGGAGGGGCAGCGAGGCGGGTCGACCGGCATGCGTGCAGGAGTTACCCCGTCCGGATGCACCGTCGAAACCCGCTCCCCGACAGAAGAGACCAGGGAAGGCAGAGCGTTCCACGGGGATCTGTTCTGCCGGGGGTCTGGCGACAGAGGGGGAAGGGATTGGCGTAGCCCGGGGACGACACACGCACCCTTCCGCGCCCTCCGAGACAGAGAGGAATGAACGGGGCGACGCAATGGACGTCGTGCGCGCTCATGCCAGTCTGTGTGCTCCATGACAGTGTCAGCTTTTCCTCAACCAGCTCAGGGAGCTAGCTAGAACAAAAGATTCTCCACCGGCCCTCCACCGGGGAAGGAGGGGCCCTGCCACCGCCTCCTGAGAAAAACCATGACACTACCACTGAGCGGCCCGCCTCAGGAACATCGCTTCGCCTGGCGTTTAGCGGGGCACACGGCCTGAGGGGGGGGGGGGGGACGCTTACCTGTGGCCTCCTCCGCGACGCGAACCGGCTGAAGGCTGCTGCTGGGGCCGCGTGGGAGGGAAGGGAGCCGCAGGGGGGCGTCCTTGGCGGCGAGCTGGCGGAGGCGTCCGAGCCGACGGCTGGTTGGAGGCAGCAGCTGGCCGTCGGGGCAGAGAAACCGCCTTCGTCTGCTCCTAGGCGGTCGAGAAGTGCTGGGCAAAGTCCTGGACCGCACCGCCGAACATATGATGCTCCTGGACCACAGCGGTGGGCATCACCTGACCAAGGGAGCGAGCGACCGCCTCCGTGACCCGTTTAAGGACAAGGTAGGCGGCAGGCTCGCAGCTCGCTTGGTCCGTCACCTCCTCGTGCACATTCCTGAGCAGCTAGCTTTGTAGGTGCTCATCATATGCAGGGCGGAGGCTGCCTGTCCCGCCGCTCTACAGAATCGCGCCGCCATAGACGACGAGAACCCATAGGCTTTGGAGGGGCATCTGAGAGCAACCGCCGGTTGACCGGGGGAGCCCCAGCGTACCCACAGACAGCCGCATCGCCGAGGGGAGGGAGGGCGGGGAACTAAGCACGCTTTTTTTTTTTTTTTTTTTTTTTATTTATTTTTTAGTGCGTGTCAGTTCCGCATGCAACTCGGGGAAAAAAGGAAATTGGGGTTGGCCGTGGCCGTAAGGCGGCAGCGTTACCCAAAAACCAATTATTCAGCAGCGAGAGATCGGGATGGGGCGGAGTTCCACCCCCACCCGATGCTCACGGACGCCCGAGATAGCACGGCCATCATCGCGGGATCAGACACGGCGGCGCTGACGCTCCCGAGGGAGGCAACGCGGCCGCATCCTCACTTCCCGAGGAGTCAAGCCCGCCTAGTGATGCTGTGATCGACATCGCATCATCATCTGGAGCGCTGCCCGAAGCAGCCGGTGCCACCGAAGAAGCAACCGACTGAATCGAACTAACGCTCGCTGGCTCTCGCACTGAGGCGGGAGGTGTGGCCCGAGGAATCGTCGGGGCTTTATCCCACACCATCACCGTAAATCACCAGGTCCCCGGGTCGACGGGCCCCCTATGGAGGAAACCGATCGAGCGGGGGGACCGGGACTCTCACTCAAGTGAGATCATTGAGTCTCGACCTCAGTGTAGAGATGGTCATGTTCCCACAGAAGGAACATGAGTCATCCACGAACGCTGCTGCTGCATGCTGAAATGCCCAGGCATACAAAGCAGCGATCGTGACCATCAGATGACGACAGAAATCAACCACACCCAGAAGAACACGGGCGAACCGTCTTTAAAAAGACGTGCGCGTGCAGCTCTTTCAATGAGAGGAGGAAATTCACTCTTTCAGCGCTGAAGCGACCAGGGAGAAGCGCAAAGTCTGGCAGACCACTGCTCAGATCGCAGGTGATGCAGAATCTCGCTGGGTACCGCCGTCACACCAACACTGAAGAGGACGCTCGTCTCGAAGAGTCTTGAACAGTGCTTTCAGGAGTGAAGAGGTTCTCTTGGCTCCGAAGCGAAAACATACTGCGGTTGCGTTCACTTCCTCCTTTTATACTCACGGAGTAGGGCGGAGTACGCTATGCAAATTTCCGCAGCCCCAAGGCATTGCATGCCATTGGCTCGTGTTTAAATACTCGAAGAGGATTGGCTTTCTATGCGAAACCCCCAATCTCCGTCACTTCTGACGTAACTCGAAGTGACTACGAAAGGGAACTGGTGTTCTCAGGCTCCCAAAATACTGTTGCCATGAAAATGAACAGCTCAAAAGTGTTAGATTTTTAGTTGAAAACAGTGTTGTGTAAACGCATCCTATGTATGTTAATGTTGATAGCAAATAACTCATTTTGTTTAGTATAAATTATGCAAAATTGTGGAGTTCATATTGACATTGCTTAGTTTTGGTTGCAGACTATATAGGCAAAGAGGAGACATGATATTACTGGACTGTTTTTCTCAATTGCTTTGTATGTCTTCGGTGAATGGGTTAAATGGAAAGTTAAACTGTGTGTCGACATGTGCTTTAAGTTTTGAGTGGTCACACTTGAGCATTGGCCGCAAAACAACTGATTGTCTGTTCAATCGATACAACTATTGAACTGAGCTGTGTTTGTGTACTGCCAGTGTTCATGTGTGCTCTGTTCCAGTTCCCAGTTTGACCCAGAACATTCTTCCCGAGGCCTTCTAAGAAATATTGCATGCTCCAACTTTCCTTTTCTACCAGTTAATGGTGAACAAGCTAAAAATCACTGTTAAAGTCAGATTGAGATCTTTTTGTAGACAATTAGCCTACTTAATGAATTCAGTTAAGATTGTCATTGGACCAGGTACATCTATTTTGGCTTGCCTTCAGATCATGGTTAATCTAATCTTTCTATAATACTGCAATATTGGCAGCTTTATAATGAGTCAAAACATGTTTTTTTTTTATATGAAGTAAAAACAGACCTATAGGAAAATTCTTGTGGTTTGAGACATTGGTGTACACATGGATACAGGATTATCAGAGGATACTTTATCATTATTACGTTTGTCTTCTTAATCACCTGTGTCTGTGTCAATTTTGGAGTCACCAACGCAATCCCTTCAAGTGCCCACCAACTGTCAGTTGCACTCACGTTTATGCTTTTCATAAACAACTTTTGAACCGTAAGATTATTTTTTTCCTCTGATTCCTTGGCTCAAGATGATTCGATTGCACCATACGACTTAATTTTCTGTCATGAAAAGGGTAAATAAATTCCTTTTTTCAAACTTCTACACTGTTGCTCGGATTTTCATCACAATTGAACCAGATAATCTTCAGATCAAGCCATAAACAACAAGAGAAAACCCATGAAATTCAAGTTTGACAATAACACGGCAAAATGAGCACGAGGCTTTATTTCTGCAATGCTTTAGCATATTCTGAGCAACGTTGGTGTGTGTTATGACTACCATGGCCTGAGGAAACCAGCATAGTTTTGGCACAGTGTAACCTAAAGCTCAGGGGATATGAAAAAATGGCTTTTGTTTGCTTACAACTTTGGTATCACTTTACAAATAAAGGTTCATGAATAACCATGTAACAACAGGAACTCATGATTAGGGTAGATATGAACCAATCATGAACCAACACAAAGCTAACCTTAACCTCCTGGAGTCATGTGGATTCATGCATGATTAACAGCAGCCTCAACACATGTTTGATAGTTAATGCATTAGGAAGGAATAAGAACTACTCTGACTTTGGCGCTATTCGGACGGGACTAGTCTAACATGGAGAGGTGGGGTGAAGTAATTATTACCACCAGAGCTTCTGTGTGATTTTAATCCCGTCTGAATGTGCATTACAGACAATGATTGAGGTAAAGATTACGGTGACTTTTATCTTCAGTAAAAAGGTCCAGAAAAATTACCTCAGGTGATACTAATCCCGTGCAAATAGACCCGCTGTAAATATGTATGTAAATATTATGTCATTTCCTGTTTAAAAGTAGTTTTCTGCAGCCTTTTAATTATGGGGACACTTGAAAAAGCATTCAGTTGCGTTCTAGCCGGCGGGACTAAACTCGAAAGTGAAAAAAAGAATGAATGCGTCATTGTACCCAGCACTTTTGAAAATGCCCTTCCAAATACGTCTCTGTCCCCAGCACATTTCAAACCAAAACTGACGCCCCTAAACTGGGGTTCCCGAGGTGGAGCGTTCTGTTGCGATGCAACTGTGTCCTCAGAGCGCTTCCTCTCGCGGTAATCCAAAGCACCCGTCCAAGGCCTGTAGGTTCTCGTCATCGATGGTGGCCGCGCGTTCCCTGGGTCAGATGATGGCCACCACCGTGGTCCAGGAACGTCACCTCTGGCTCAACCTGACCGATATGCGGGACACCGAGCGGACTCGTCTGCTTGACGCCCCCATATCTCAGATTCTATAATCTCCGAGTGGAGCCTGTGTCCTCTCTTGTACTCGCTCACCCGGCCAGTACTGGACCCGCTCAGGTGTCTTCGCTTGCTCGCCATTCCACTCCTCAGACTGGATAAGTGCGATTTTTCTCAGCTGAGCCTTCTATTGAACCCCTAAGTTCCTCCAGCACTGTTGATGCTGACGCCAGTGTCTGTTGCCTGGGCGTCGGCTAGGTGCCTCCGTGTGCATGGTTCCTGCTAGTAACCCCCACATGTGTATTTCCACTGTAAGCCTCTCTGAGCATGTGTCTTCCCTCGGCAAGCCACCTTGCCACCCCTGGAGTTAAGATTCTAGCCACCTTACGGGTTGGTGACTCCAGTGTTCCTCCATACGAAGCCCCCTGGGCCGTATAGCATACTGTGGCATATTTCCTCTAGGATATGCTCCCCAGTGTACCTTGGTATTCCTGCGTTAAGTAGGACTCCTCGTCCGTGCTAGAATTCACGACAGGGGATCAGACTTTCACAGGGCACTGGATTACACGGGGGACCCCCATTCTCCGTAATCCGATGTAACTCAGAGTGATTACGAAAGGGAACGTCTCGGTTACGTATGTAACCCTCGTTCCCTGAGTAGGGAACGGAGACATAACATCTCCCTGCCACTTCCGCTGTACCGTTGGGTAGACGCCTGAGTTCAGTCTCGGCTCCTCAGCGAAGACATACTGCGGTTGCGTTTGCTTCCTCCATTTATACTCACAAGGTGAGGCGGAGTTACGCTATGCAAATTCCACAGACCCATGGCATTTTCTTGCCATTGGCTAATTTTTTCATACTCGAAGAGGATTGGCTTTCTAGGCAAAACCCCCATTCTCCGTCATCCGACGTAACATCATCCGACGTAACGAGTTACATACGTAACCAAGACGATTTTGTTAGAGTAGTACGAGCATGAAACCAGCTACTTTGTCATTTTTTGAAGTGTGAGCCTCTCTTTCTTTAGGACTATGACTAAATTCCCTTATCTCTTCTGCTTGCTATAGATGCTTGCCAACAGCTCTAATGCTGTTAGAATAAGAAAATACAAATTTCTCCACCACCTGCAAGGATGCGTTAATTCTGACAAAGTGGTGTAATACAGGGCGTTTTGATCTTATGAAATGGGAAATTTTAGTACATTTTACAATATCAATTTTCTTTTATTGACACTATCCAAAAAAATATAAAATTTCCATCACTTTTTACTGTACCAATGATTTTTTTTATGAACCATAAAACTTAGCCTATAACTCTCATTAGAGTATTAGTAGATTGTCTGCTCAAAATCTGCTAACTCTTTATTGTGATGCTCCTCCAAGAGATATTATACTTACTATAAGTAACTGTGCAACTACATGTCAGTTTATTCTATAGCATGAGCCACCTATAGACCTTATTCAGAGCAGCGCCATGACAGGTATGAAAGTGAGGCTGTGAGGGATAGACTTACCGTGTTTCCAATGGCATCCGCTGTAAAAAGCTGAATAAAGCGGCTAGATTACTTACAATTTTCCACAGCTTACGTTGTCCGGAGTTTTTTGTCAACTGACATTTCTTGGAAAGATATTTTTCCAGTGTTTCATGAGCAGAACAATCCGAAAACACATTAAATAACAGTACAGCCCATTGAAGAGATGCAAGTCTATCCCTCACAGCCTCACTTTCATTCTCATTAAAAATCAAAGATGGCGCTGCTGTGAATAAGGCGTATAGACCATTTCACAAGATGTAAACAACACTGGTCCAGAAGCACTTCCTGTTTCAGTTTGTAACTGTTTTCTTTATTTCACATGTAAAGAAAACGTCTCTGGTTACTTACGTAACCTATGTTCTCTGAATAGGGAACGAGACGCTGCGGATAGCGCAGCGGGATATTCTCTGAATATGCCGATTGTCTGAAGCCCAATAGAATCACGCCAATTCATTGGCTGATGGCGCTCACGCAATCTGGCCCCGCCCCGACGCAATTACGTCGCATAATCATATACGCGCGTGCGCCATCTTCCTCTCAGATTTCTCTGCCGAAAAGAAGACTGTCAGCAGCGCGAGGAGCTTGGCCGCTAACGCAGCGTCTCGTTCCCTATTCAGAGAACATAGGTTACGTAAGTAACCAGAGACGTTCTCTTTCATAGGTTCACTCAACGCTGCGGATAGCGCAGTGGGAACGGGATACCAAACTCGCCAAGCAAAGAGCGCTGTTATGACTGGTATCGAAAGATAAAGACTACAAACGGTTCAAACAGAAAGAATCTGGGAACCCGGGGTCATGTCAAGATCCAAAATGTAGAAACGTACAAAAGTGTGCGGAGAGGACCATCCGGCCGCAACACAAATGTCCTCTAATAGAGCTCCCCTGAAAAGAGCTTGAGAGGATGCCACACTCCTGGTGGAATGCGCTCTAATGCCAAGAGGCGAAGGCAAACCACGCGCCTGGTAGGCAATCGATATCGCCTCTGTGACCCAATGAGAAATCCTCTGTTTCGATGCAGCAAGCCCACGGCGGCCAGCACCAAAACAAACCAGAAGCTGGTTAGATTTCCTCCAACAGCTGGAGCGGTCTACATAAAACTTCAAAGACCGAACTGGGCAGAGCAGATTAAGCTTCCTATCCTCCTCAGAGGAAAAAGGCGGAGGGTGGAAAGCGTTAAGGCTAACAACCTGAGAGCGGAACGCTGTGGAGAGAACCTTAGGAACATAGCCTGGCCTAGGTCTCAAGGAAACTTTGACTAACCAGGGAGCAAAGTCTAAGCATGACTCACTAACAGAAAGAGCCTGCAAGTCCCCTACCCGCTTTAAAGAAGACAAAGCCAACAAAAGTGACACCTTAAGAGTCAGAATCCGATCTGGAGCTGACTCTAAGGGTTCAAAGGGGGCCTCCTTTAAACCCTCCAAGACGACAGAAAGATCCCAAGAGGGAACTCTAGGGGAGCGAACTGGTTTCAGGCACCTAACCCCACGCATGAAGGCCGAAACTAACCTCAATTTGCCCAAAGGAATCTCGTCTGACTCTCTATGTGCCGCAATGGCTGCAACATAGACCCTGAGGGTGGTAGCCGCCGCCCCGGAGGAAAATCTCTCTTGCAGGAACTCCAACACTGAAGCGACAGGGCAGTTAACTGGGTTCCTATCACGTGCCAAGCACCAAGACGCGAAAACCTTCCATTTGGAAGAATACAGTCTCCTTGTAGAAAGAGCTCTAGCACTAGCGATGGTCTCCTGAACGTCAGTCGGGAGATCCAAGCCTAAAGTCGACGACCCTTGATCGGCCAAACGTACAGCTTCCACATGTCCGGGCGAGGATGCCAAATCCTGCCCTGAAGTTGGGAAAGCAGATCCTCTCTGATTGGAATCTTCCAGGGAGGCGATTCCAGCAGAGGAATTAACTCCGAAAACCATGGCTGAGACGGCCAGAATGGGGCTACTAGAAGGAGGCGGACTCCGCTCTCCCTCACTCTGGCCAGGACCGCCTGAATCAGTTTGATGGGCGGGAAGGCGTAGAGTTTCTGCATTGGCCAAGGGTGGGCGAATGCATCTATCCCCAACGGAGCTGGAGGATTCAGGGAGAACCAGAGCGGGCATTGGGATGACTGCTGCGAGGCAAAGAGGTCCACCTCCGCTTTTCCGAACACCTCCCAGATCAGGGAAACTGTCTGACGGTTCAACATCCAATCCCCCGACTGGAGTTTCTGCCTCGATAGAAAATCCGCTGCGAGGTTCAGAACCCCTGGGACATGGACCGCTCTCAGAGAAAGGAACCTGCTCTGAGACCATAATAGAAGATGACGCGCATGCCTGTCCAGGGTGCGAGATCGAGAACCTCCTTGCCGGTTTACATGGGAAACTACCGCCATGTTGTCCGTCCTGACAATGACATGGTGACCCTTTAGAAAAGGGAGGAAATGACGCAAAAAGCCAGGAAGACGGCTCTCAGTTCTAAGCAGTTTATGTGCCAAGCGAGGGTCTCGCCCGTCCAGACCCCACATGCTGGCCTGCCCTCGAAAACTGCTCCCCAACCGGTTAGAGAGGCATCCGTCGTAAGCATCTGGCGACGGAATACCGTTCCCATGCTGACCCCTTTCTGAAGAAAGAGATGGTCCCGCCAAATCGACAGGGCGCGAGAGCAACTGCCCGACACCCTCAACAGGCGAAAGGCTGACCCAGTGGGCCGGATGCCTGAGAGCTTCATCCACCACAGGAAGGGTCTCATGTGGAGCAGACCCAGGGGTAGCACAGGGGAGGCTGCGGCCATTAAGCCCAGAAGCCTGTGGCAGGTGCCCACAGAAACATGATGGCCAAGCGAAAAACGGGCCAAACATGTCATCAAACTGCAAATCCGTGCAGGAG